GTGTTTTGTGGAATTATTGAGAATTATGCAATTTATGGGTTATTTATTTAATTGATAGTATATAATATTAATTTATTAATATTATTATGAATTAAAATAAATATAAGAGGAATAAGGGTAATTTGGGCAATTGAGAGGAGTAAGCGAGGGTATAATGGAGAAAGCCCAATTGTGTGGCCTAAGTCTAAGTTTGACAAAATAGAATTCTGAAGGTTTATGATTCATTTTGTAAACCGTGAAAAGAATGGAGGGCAGAGCTCTGAGGAGGGAGAAGTGGAGGCAAAAGCTTCGAAAGATGCCCGAAGATAATCGTGAAAGCTTTGAATCGGCTAAGGTATGAGGAGTATCACCTTTCATGATTTTCTATATATGCCTTTCGATGTGTTTATGGTTGGTTTGGGGGGTTTTTAGGGAGAAGTATGGGAAAAGGGATTTTGGCCTTCGTGGCCAAAATCTATCATTGAGATTCTGACCGTGATAAGATTAGAAGGTTATGAGAACAAGTAATCTATGGCCTTCGTGTCCTAGATCTATCATGGGAGTGGTAACCGTAAGGATTCTAAGGGTAGAGATGGGAAATAATGACCTTTGGCCTTCGTGGCCTAAACCTGTAAGTGCAAATCTGACCGAGAATTAATTAAGAAATTAGGGAAATTGATTATAAGACTCTGAGATTATGGTTGTGATATGTATCACTGAATATTTGGATGTTTGATATGAGGATTAGAGAACCTTAGGCATTCATGGCCAAAACTATGGGGTGACATGCGTCCGACCTTGAAGGAATAAAGATATGTGATATGAGAAATTATGATGCCTTTAGGGTAATTGTAGGAAAATGGTGGTTTAGGAGATGAATATGTCCCGGAATTGGTCTAATAAACCGTAGGTTTTGTGCCTTTATCGTCGTAGGACCTTAGGGATGATTTAGGGATGTTTTAGGGGCATTGGGTAAGTGAATCGTATGAGCATTTGGGCGAAAATCAGTTCTGGTGCATAGCAGACTTTGCTGTCATCGCTCTATTCGCCTAGCGAGCAAGCCAGCGAAGGTTCGCTACAGTCTCGCCTAGCGAGCAAGCCAGCGAAGGCTCGCTACCAACTCGCCTAGCGAGCAAGCCAGCGAACGTAGCAGAGTTCGCGAAATTTGATCGTTTGCAGCGATGCCTTGATGTTTGATTCTGAGATTTCTGAGATGAGTTAACATGAGTATGACAGTGAGGAATTGTGTGATTGATATGCTATAGTGTGAGGATTACTGCAGGTATAAGTTGATGAATTAATATGTGATAATATGGGATAATATTATGGTGTAATATGAGATGATATGGGATAATATTATGAATTAATATGAGATAATATGGGGCAATACTATGAATTAATATGTGAAAATATGTGATAATATGATGGGCTAATATGAGGATGACTATGAGTTAATATGTGATTTGTGTGTGATTATATGACGATTTCCATGATGTGTGATGATGGTTATTATGATAAATTATATGATGACATGATGTGTGAGATTAATTACTATGATGAATTATATGACGAATTGTGTGATAACATGAGATATGATGATTTATGTGATGATGATGATGATTATGACGATTTATGTGATAGCATGAGATATGATGATTTATGTGATGATGATGACTATGTTGATGAGTTATGACATTTGATGAATATGTCGAATATGATTAATGATGATGCACCATATGCCGTATTATGAGGATTATTATTGTGACGTGTGCATCATGCATTCATGTGCATCCGGACTTCGATTCAGGACCTCGATTACTTTGGCTTCAATCCCACTGTGCGGATGTGAAGTATTATGATGTGCTCTGATCCTATTGATGGGGATCTATGGAGGGTTGATGGCCTAGTATCCATCACGCTGTGATGATTGGTCCCACGTGCATTGAGTCTATGTTGCATTTGCATTTATGAGCCTTTGTGTATAAATTATGATGTTGTGGCCTTCGAGGCCTATTAAAGGACATGAATGTGTTGAGTATGAATATGACGTCGTTTATGCATTAATTGTTATACATTGATTATTATGAATTGTTTTACTCACCCTTCCTGTTTGAATGTTACCTCCACGTGGGTAACGTGCAGATGACCAAGTTTAACTATGGATGCCGTCGAGGAGTATTCTTGAAGTCTTAGAGTTGTTAGCCTTTTGGTTAACTTAGGGGGTCTTGCTCTGATATGTAACATCAGGTTGGGTTCTTTGAGTTGAACTATATATCAGTGAGTTATTTTACTAACTTTCCCTTATGAGGAAGACCTTGAGTTATGTTTTGAGTTCCGCTGCTTTGTGCAAATTGATGTATTTTGAGAAAACCCGTGTGCTACGGAGCATTGACTTATTTTGAGACATTGAGAAATGTACGCCCTTTTGTGGCTTTTTTATGAAAGTTAATATTTTACTCTGAAATCTGTGTAATTTTGCCGTAATAATTGTGGGGTAGAAAAGGGTGTTACAAGTCTTTTCAATATGCTTTGTCCTCACTCACACTCTTTTCGAGAAACTTTTCAAAAGGTCACTCATCCAAAAATTGCCTCAAGTTAAGCACGCTTAACTGTTGAGTTCTTATGGAACATGCTACTGAAAAGAAGATGCATCTTATTAGTATATGTAGTACCAATTAATCCTTATAAGCTTTCCTTCAACCATGCAGTCTCATACCTGCACAACCTCAGGATCCCTCTCATTTTGATGTGAATTTGGTTTTTCCTTAGAAGCTGCTAGAACTGTCTCATTGTCATATCTTGTGCACCTACAACCACTCCCTCTCCCTCGGGTGTCACATGTAATAACTTTCCGCCCTCTTCGGCCTCGGGTGTTACATGCCCACCAACTTCCGCTTGGTTCGTCCCCGAACCACATCGTATTGAGAAAGGTCTGACTCTGATACCATTTGTAACGCCCCATACTGCTTTCGGGATTATCGACTGACCTCACAAACCAACATGGGTCTTTTTAGTATGCTTTTTCCTCACTCACACGCTTTCCGAAAAACTTCCCAAAAGGTCACCCATCCCAAAATTTCCCCAAGCCAAGCACGCTTAACTCTGGAGTTCTTATGGAACAAGCTACTAAAAATAAGATGCATGTAACACCTGAGGCCGAAGAGGGCGGAAAGTGGTTACATGTAACACCCGAGGGCAAGGGAGTGGTTGTCGGTGCATGAGGCATGACAATGAGACACTCCTAGCAGCTTCTAGGAAAAAGGCTGAATTCACATCGGAATGAGAGGGATTTTGAGCCTGTGCAGATATGAGACTGCATGGTTGAAGGAAGACATATAAGGATTAATTGGTACTACCTATACCAACAAGATGCATCTTCTTTTCGGTAGCTTGTTCCATAAGAACTCTATTGGGATGGGTGGCCTTTTGGGAAGTTTCTCGAAAAGCGTGTGAGTGAGGACAAAACATACTGGAAAGACCCATGTTGGTTTGTGGGGTCAGTCGGTAATCCTGAAAGCAGCCTGAAGCGTTACAAATGGTATCAGAGTCAGACCTCTCCTAATACGATGTGGTTCGGGGACGAACCAAGTGGAAGTTGGTGGGCATGTAGCACCTGAGGGTGGAGAGTGGTTACATGTAACACCCGAGGGCGAGGGAGTGATTATCGGTGCACGAGGCATGACAATGAGACACTCTTAGCAGCTTTTATTAAAAAGGCTGAATTCACATCGGAATGAGAGGGATTCTGAGGCTGTGCATGTATGAGACTGCATGGTTGAAGGAAGACTCATAAGGATTAATTAGTACTGCCTATACCAACAAAATGCATATTTTTTCGGTAGCCCGTTTCATAAGAACTCTATAGTTAAACGTGCTTGACTTGGAGTAGTATTGGGATGAGTGACCTTCTGAAAAGTTTCTCGGAAAGCGTGTGAGTGAGGACAAAACATGTTGAAAAGACCCATGTTGATTTGTAGGGTCAGTCGATAATCCTAAAAGCAGTTTGAGGCGTTACAGGACCAACCCTCATTAGACGTCTACACTAAAATATGACACTTATGCATGACTCACATTCACTAAGTAGCTCGACCTAAATGGAAACGAGGGTTGTGATGTGTTCGCAATCTGTATCAATGTACGAAAGAAGTCATGATCACATTTCACTAAGATTTCTGAAATCCATACCCATGGACTTCTATAAATATCTCAATCTAAGGATTAATCTAATGATATACTTTAAATTTACCACGAAATAAATTTAATTATAGAGTTTCTTACTCACATGAGCTTCCTCTCACTTAATAAAAAAACACAATCAATCAGAATTTCTCATAATTGTGAGTTTGTCCTAAACCACTAGAAACTCTAAAGCTTATGGTCACTCCTACCCAACCAGCACTTTGTAATTTTTTTTAGTGAGTACATACATCATTGATGCACAACATCTATTTATAAAAGGTACTTTAAATGTGATTAAAAAAAAATCAAACTGACATAAAAATTTAATAGTATAATTTTCATTGTCTTAATTAAGAAACAATAGTTACACAAAATAATATTTATCTATTCTTTAAGAATTAATTGAAAAACAATAGTTACACAAAACAATACTTATCTTTTTTGGTGGTAGAATAGCTATTGCTGAACGGCGGAGTAATAATAATAACACTCAACCCTCTCGCGGCCTCCATTCACTCTCGCTCTCTCCAAGGCTACTTCAAAATCCACCGCAGCATAGATCAATCGCCGCCGCATCACCTCGGCCCTACTCCGGTATCTCTCTCGAGTATCTCTTTGAACCTTTATTTCTTGTTGCAGATATTAGCTTTCCATTTTATTTAACTTATGATATATGATTATTTGTGATTGTGGGTAATTGCCATGCATATATGGATTAGGGTTAAGAGCCATTGATTGCGAATAATCATATTTTCCTACATTTCAACTGTTATTAATGCCTTTTGCATTCCAGATATTTGAAGAAAGGAATTTCAATTTTTTCTTTTTTGAGATTGCAGAATATGAAAGAGGAAGAGGTGAATTGTTGCCAGATTCAGGACTGGTACCCAAAATTCAAATCTGTATCAATCAAGACGTTAATTCACCAACTTCCCGAACCTTTCGTCAAGTACCTTCTTGATGAGTCTGGACCCTTTCTATTGCCTGCTTCCGTCTTAAACGAAGACGCGTTACCCAATAGAATTCACAATCCTAATGATGAAGAAGATTTTCAGGTTTTAGAGGGATCTGATGATGAAGCGGAAGAATCTCCTCCGCCTTGTTTTCCAGAACTCGAATTGAAAGTTAAGGAATCGATCGAGTCCCTTGGGGGTGCTGTCTTCCCCAAACTGAATTGGAGTGCTCCGAAAGATTCAGCTTGGATTAGTACTTCTGGTACCCTTCGATGCACGACTTTCAGTGAAATTGCGCTTCTGTTCCGAGCTTCTGACTCGTTAGTCCATGACTTGTGTCATGCATATGATTCTTGCCTTGATAAACGTACGTCACGACCGCAGAGTTTCTTTCTTGCTCTCCGTAAATGGTATCCGTCGCTTAAACCAGACATGGAGTTTCGTTGTTTTGTACAGAATCAGAAATTAGTTGGAATTTCTCAACGAGAGGTTACGACTTTTTATCCTGTTTTGCTCGAAAAGAAGAATGATATCATGTTACTGATACAAGCATTTTTCAACAATCATGTGAGAGGTAAATTTGAGTTGGAAAACTACACATTTGATGTTTACGTTACGAATGATGTGAGAGTTAAGATTGTGGATTTTAATCCTTGGGGTGGCTCTACATTATCATTGCTGTTTACATGGGATGAATTAGAGCTTGTTCATGGTGAAGAATATGATGTGGAGTTTAGAATTGTGGAAGATCGATGCGGTGTTAGGCCGGGCCTAAAAACAGCAGTTCCGTATGATTACTTGGATACCAGTCAAGGGAGTGGTTGGGATCAATTTCTAAGGAATGCTGATCAAGAGTTGAGAAATCAACACAGGTCTCCAGAAGCTGGTGCATGATAATTAGATTTTTGCTCTCAATTCTTAACTATGAGACTGCAACAATGTTGTCAATCACAGATTGCAAAAGTAGTAATTTGTTGAAATTTTGTTATGCCGCAGATGCTAGTGTTGCCAAAACAATGTCAAATGTTCAAATTCTGCCACATTATTACTGTGCGTGTTGTAATAGAGATATTTAGTTATATATTGTTTTGGATTTTTGTTAGTTACCCTATTTAAATTATGTATTTGATTTTTCTACTCTACTCAACTACCAATACCAACTGAGCTGATTTATCGAGTTGGTTTAACAAGATAGTTAAATGATCTTTCTATTTACTCTTATATAAATTTTGTATGATACTCAAATTTTTAATTTAGGGAAAAGAAAAACCATTTTATAACACAGGCCAGAGTGATCAATTATACTTGAAAATACAATGTTCAATTATTATCATTACTTTTATTTTGGTCTGCAACGCCTAATTATTGTTAAAATAAAAGTAAAGATAGTAAAATTTAGTAGTATGAACACGTAAGTAAATGGATCACTGTCTAATACTTAAAATATTTAAAATTTCAACTACAAGAGACATTATTTCTTCAAAATAGACATCAACTAGTAATTATTTTTATTAGACTAAGATAGTAACACCCCAACAGAAATTCTTATCTATCTTTTAAATATTATAAACAACTTTTCAATGGAAGACTTATAATCTGCACTATGTATTTGGTTTTTCACAAAACTATGAGTTAAAGCTATGCTGCAAAAAAAATCCCAGATTCCATCAAAGGTTCATCATTTTGAGAAAGATTCGTCTCTAAGATCTCCAATGATTGAAGAAGTTTGAAGCACCAATTAGAAGCACATAACATTTAACTGAAACTTCAACCTGGTTCTGCTCGATTACACCTCGCACATTATAGAACTCAGTTGGCTTCAACTACCTTCAGTAATCTAGCCAGGTCATAAGACATGAAGTCTTTTCCATAACAAAAGCTTAGATCCAGTGCTGTTTTTCCATCCTGAATCATAGCCAATAAATGAAGTTCTACTTCTACAACAAGTAAAAACGAATAACACCGCTATCGAGGTTAAGAATAAACAGAATCATAACAACACATGTTCAACATGTTGCATTTTAACAAAGTTACCTTATTTTTCATCATTCTATCTGCACCATAGACTAACAAAATTTTCGCTATATCTCTATTCCTGCTTTGAATGGCAACATGCAACGGGGTCCAACCTTCCTGAGAAAAAATTAATTGTAAATAACCCAAATTGAAGAAATTCTTTACAAGTAGAAAGAAACTTGTGTTACTAAAAGCACTCACGTTATCTGCAACGTTGATATCAACGTTGTATTTAATCAATAATTTCACAGTTTGCTTTGCACCAACTTGAACTGCATAATGAAGTGGAGTAGCTCCATCCTACCATATAAATAAATACATAAACACCTAATAGAATTTCAAGAATGCAGTCAACCGTTTATGAACATGAGGAATTTGTCCATACCTTATCCTTGACATGAGGATTTGCACCTTTCCGTAAAAGATGGCTTGTAACCGCTTCCCTTTTACCTATGATTGACTTATGAAGCGCAGTGAGACCTTCCTGTTGATCAAATTATCTAATTTAAGACTAGGCAAATGCTATGTAAAAACTGACATAAATTTATAATATAAACAAATGTACCTTATTGAGGAAATCAATATCGTAACCATTTTGAATGAGCTGGTCCATGCTATAAACTTGAAGTGATAAGGCAAGAGAGTGCAGTGGGCTCCATTTTTCCTGAATACGTGAAAATAAGAGTTTAGGGTATATGTAAGAAATCGGGGAAGTAGGTAGATAATGCAGAGTTACAGACTTACAGATGATATTTTTTCTACGTTAGGAGTTACATTTTGTTGCAATATTTTTCTTTCTTCTGGTTCCAAAAGCTGTTCAACCTCTGCATGTATAAGAAGAGTATCTCTTATAGTAGCAGACTATTATACAATGCCAGAAAACATTCCACAATCTAATTGAGGCGAGCCGATACAATGTCAGAAAACATTCTACAATCTAATTGAGGCGAGCCGACACTAAATATGGATACCTCTGTTAGCTGGGATTTAAATTTTGGTTCACCGCGTTGTGACTTGTGAGAACCTACCTAGTCCCTCTTTCTAGACCCAAGCCCCGTTGTTGTTTTTTTCCGTCATATCTAATTACTCTCATATAGAAGACAAGTAACTAACAAGGTTTAAAATTTCGACAGAGCGTGCTTTAGTAAACCGATCAATTATCATGATTATGGCCAGCCAAAACTCAGTCTAATTATGGACTCCAATAGAGAAAAAGAAACACAGAAAACAAAAATACCTTTCTTAATACTCTCCTCATACTCAGCCTGATCACCGGCAGTTTGTGGAGTCTCTGTCTCTTCCCCATCACTTTCAAATCCAAGGCTCTCGTCTTCTTCAACACCATACTCGCTATCACTGTCACTCGCAATATCTGGTTCTTCCCAAGTTCCATGTTCTTGTTGGGTTTTCAAATAAGACCCTTCTCTGCTTGATTTGATTACAACATTCCTCCCAACTAGATAATTATTCCTAGAGAAAGAGAGACATAACTTTTCTTTGGTTGTGCTTCTGTAAATTCTATGTAAAGTGGCTCTCAATTTGGAGTTAGTAGAAAATGGAACAGAGTGATTAGAAAGAACAGATGTTGTAGCCAAAGAATCCATTATGTTTTCCTGGATAAGGGCATTAGAGATCCTAAATTAAACTCAAACAAAAACTAGGTCATCTTATATTGAAATCCTAAATATTCAATCCAAACATACATTAATGGAACACACAAGCCATAATCTATGAAGCACACCCTTAACCCAACACCGACACTGATACAGAAATATCAATAATAAATTTGAAAAAAAAATTAAATTAAAGGTACATATATTTATTTATTAGAGGTGTCAGTGCTACATAGGTCATAAGCGATGTAACATTTTGCAGATAACAACATTAAGATAATATAACATATTTGATGAAAAGAATTTTAAGAATCAGGAACTGGAATGCTAGGTTACAATTTGCACCAAATAATACACCCAATTCTAACAGTTACAAAAACAAAAGGGGGAAAATGATGTTTATTTTTGGTTAAAAGGTGTGAATTAGAAGAATTAAGTTACGGTAATTGAAGGTGGAAAAGAACGATGAGTGACGAACATGTTTGTATGTGGGTGTTGTGAGGACATACCGGAGCGGTGAAGGGAGTCTCCGGCGAGAAGGATCCTGATGCAGTGTTGAGTGAGAGAAGATGGAGTTTGGATAAGTGAAGGTTATGGAGAGTGGACAAGCACCTCGTCTTAGTGTTAGCGGCGAGTTTCTAGAGTGTCGTCGTTAAGGAAAATGGGGTCGCCAAGATACTAAGATTTTCTGTTCGGGTTAACAATTTGTGTTGTTAACATGTATGTTTCAAATCCAAACCAATTTTTTAAAAAAATTACAAATTGATAAAATAAATAAATAAATAGAAAATAGTAAAAACTAAATATTAATTGTTTGATTTGGATTGATTTTTTAAAATCGATTCAAACCGAATTGAATCGTTTATATGTATTTTTATATTTATTTATTTTTTATTAATTTGATATCTTGTATTAATTTAGGCAATTTTTTTCTTTAATTTTATTTTGGAGTCCATTTTTAATCTCAATTTCAAAAAGTTTCGAGTTAATCCTTTAATTTTTCAAAGAGTTATATAAAAGGCGTTTGTTTATGCATGCGTGACAACAATTGAACCATGGTCACTACTGTTATTTAGAAAGATAGTGTACCACTGAATTATATCATATTTGTTTATTTATTTTACGAATAACATATATATATATATATATATATATATATATATATATATATATATATATATATATATATATATATATATATATATATTAATAGTTTATTTGTTTCAAAATTACTTTTTCATTCATCTTCACCACCACCTGCTTCCTTAACATCAAGGGTGAAACCATAGTCCTGATGATAAAAACCTTTCCATAGTTATGTAACTGTAATAATATGAAGCAATCATTCCAAGGTTAAGAGGAGAAAGGTTCGTAACATCCTCAATTTCAACATTTCATCACCTATCTTGTTAATAAAAGGCTCAAGTTCTTCTAAGGACCGCGGCAAAAAAGGCTTCTCTCCTTTGTCTGCGCCTGAGTATGTAATCAAATTCACAGCTGTCAGTCAAACATGCTTTCTTATAGGTATAAATACAATAGCAGGTTTCCCATTCTTGGCATGTTCAACTATTCTCGTCTCCCGTCATCTTTTGATTCTTGTCAATTTCAATTTGTTTCGAGCTGATTGTAAACAATGAGAAATGATTGATACCGTAAATTGAAAAGGAGAAAATTATCAGAGTAAATGATTGATTAATACCAGTAAAATAACCATCAAGCCGTAAATGATTAATTGATACTAGTAAAAAATGAGGTCTAGAAACCCTGGAATTGAAAGGAAAGAAATTATCCGAGTTGATTGTAAATTTCGAAAAGAAAATCTAGCAAACGAGAAATGATGAAAAAGGGGAATAGAAACCCTAAATTGAAAAAAAAAGGGTGTAAAAGGAAGAAGATTGATATTATAATAGCCATCAATCTCAAGAAGGATAATGTGTGTGTTTGTTTGATGAAGAAATACAATTAACAACCATCAAGCAGTGTTGTAACTAGATTTGATCCTAGGTTAAAGAGGTTTGAAGAAACCCGGGAAAGATAAAGAATTAATATATGTCTAATTTGTAAACTTATCAAAATGTGAATAATGTTCCAATAGTAAAGTGTCTTACATGTAACTAACATGTCCCTGGTTTGAATTCAGGTTAAAGCAAATTTTTGTTGAATTTTGATCATTTTGGTGAAGAGTGTATGTCACATCAGCGTCAGGTGTTTGCTCCATTGACTTTGACTAACGAGGCAAATGAAACATGAAACTTTTTAAAGTAGAGGGACCAAAATGGACCCTGAGATAAAGTTAAATGACCAGAAAGGGTATTTTGCCATTAATTTATTATTGAATAATATTTATTTTTTTTATACAATTTAATAGTTTAGTTTTTAATCTCTTTATCTATATTCTTTCATTTGTTTCAACCATAATCGATCATTTTTTATTTTGTAATATTAATTTTTAATATACTATATGTTATATATTACATCAAATCAATTATTTATGAGCATTTTTATAATTTTAATAAAAATGTAATTTGTAATTTGGATAACCAAAAATTGATCCAAATTAGACTGCATGAAATTGAATCGGATCAGATCAAAGTTTTTTAATCAATCATCCAAAAAAAACCAAATCAGAATAAATTTATCTTTAGACCAGATGAGTTTTTATCTCAAAATAAATCCAAACCGCACCATGAACACCTCTAGTTGTTACAGTATTATACTTCTTATCAAGTTTAATGTATTAGACCTGTTAGTATTTACGATTTGCTTGCATAGGATAAATACATTTAGTGTCATAATTATTGTTGTTTTTTGTTAGGTAGTTTAGTGGCTGGAGTCTACTTTATTAAAGATGAACAAGTAGGATATAACATGTTCGAACTCGTGGCCTTGCACCTGATGTCTTTATACAACTAACAACTCAGATCGACTTTAGTGTCAGTTTTTGATTAATGGTAGTCTCACTAGGGAATTTGTGATGAAGAAAGGGTTGAGATAGGAAGATCCCTTGTCTCCTTTTCTGTTTCTTATTGTGGCAGAAGATTTTTCATGTTCTAGTGGAAAAATGGTGGATTTAGAAAAATTTAGACGGCTTCAAGTTTGATAACTAAAGTGATCAGATTTTTCACTTACAATACACAGACGATACACTAAGAATTGTATCTAAAAGCTAGTCTAATGTTAGAACCATTAAGGCGATTTTTAAGCTATTTGAAATGATCTCAGGGTTGAAGGTTAATTTCCATAAAAGTATTTTAGTGGGGATAAATGTTTCTCGTGATTGGTTGGAGGTTGCCTCTAAGGCTCTAAATTTTCAACGTGAAAGTTCCCCTTCATTTACTTAGGGCTTCAAATTGGGGCTAAGAGATTATTAGGGTGGGATAGTAAAATGTATCACATGGTGGAAGGGTGACTCTTATCAAATTAGTCTTGTCGAAGTTCTTAGTATACTACCTTTCATTCTTTAAAGCACCATCAGGTATCATCTCTCATCTTGAATCTTTGTTTATAAAATTTCTCTGGGGGAGTGATGAAGAAAAAAATAGCTAAGTTAGTTAGGATAAGATTTGTAGAGGCATGAAGGTTGGGGGATTGGGAATTAAGAACTTGAGAATATTCAATTTGGCTTTATTGGAGAAATGGTTTAAAGGTGTGAAAAGTACACAAGAAGGGGGTTGAATTGTGTTTCGTGTTCTCTTTTAATTTAGCTTTTGATCAGAGTTTCAGAATCAGAACTGATGTTCAAATTCTGAATTAATTTGTTTGGCAGCGGATATAACAGAAGTAAATAAAATAATAGCAGAAGACACAAAAGATTTATATTCGTTCCTCTCCTAACTGAGAGTAGTCCAGTCCCCTTTCCTCACAAGATATTTTCATTATAACCACTTCATGATTACAATTGCTTATGCTTCTGCATAAGACTTTTACAACAGCTCAGACCAACAGTCTGAGACTTCCCTTACTTAGAGCATATGTCTAAGACTTAACATTTGCTCACACCATCTGACTGAGCCATCTGCTCCTCTGTCTTTTGGTTGAGACTTCCCCTTTGCTTAGAGCACATGTTTAACACTTCCCTTTGATCATATCCTATAGACGAGCCACTTGTTCTTCTGGCCATCTAGACTGAGACTTCCCCTTTGCTTAGAGCACATGTCTAAGACTTCCCTTGATCAAGCTACACACGAGACTTCTTGCTCACACCTTTTAGGCAGAGACTTCCCTTTGCTCAATCAGGCTAGCAGAATAAGACTTTCACAACTCAAGCGCTTAAGCAATGAGACTTACGTGGCTTAGGCATCTTGTCTTAAGAATGGTTGCTTGAATCCCAATGGGACCGGATTTTTTGATCAAGCACATACCAAGAGACTTAATCTAAACTATTGAAGGCTCAGCAGAACAGAGAATAAGGTGTACATGATACAAGTATCATAGGTACGTGAAATCACCATAACAAAGACCTAAAGCTCTTATACAATGGTAAGAAATCTTAAGGCTTTTACAACTGCAACCGAAAATAGAAAATATGCATATTACATTAGAGTTGATAATTTCTTGATCTTGAAACTCCTTCATTAGAAGAATCCTTATTAAGATTTAAACTTGAATCTTCAGCCATATATATAGCCTTTTTAGAAACTAGTCATTGAGGAAGTGACTTGATCAAGTGTCTTTTCTTTTACTCTATAGTATAAGAGATGTTGAAGATGGATGCACAACAAATTTTGAATCCAGTGGGTAATACGTTTAACCTTTGAGTCTTCAAGAGGTTTTGTACTGATAGAGCCGCTGGGAGTAGACGTTCGTAGAACATGTCAACCTTTCTTGAGTCTTGCAATCTTGTAAACTCTAGCTAACAAGCTGATAAGACCATATAACTTGCTTTCTGCAATACGGAAAATCCATAACTTTATCACCAACACTGAATGGTACCAGATGATGATATACAATTACCAAGTGTAGTAACTCGTGTGATTGCTGAGGCCTTCAGC